ATTGTCTATTTGTTTTCCTGAGAAACTATTTTGTAGATAATAATATGTAAAACGATAACCATTGATAATTTCCTACCATTTTGTCTGTAATTTGCTAAGTCCCCCCTATTATTGTTATCCTTCTTTTATTCTTTAAAATAAAAATTAAAAAAAAAGAACTATTCATATGCATATCAAATACACATGTTAATAAACTTCTGAAAGTTTAAAAAAAAAAAGAGAGAAAAAGAGAGCATAATACTTTCAACCTCTTCTTTTTAACATGTTTTTCATGTCAGAAACTTACTCAGCAGGCTACATAATATTATAGTCTAGAAATTAACATTTGCCTATTATTGAACTTGTGTACCTACTTTTTATATAATTGTTCATTTTTTTGATGAATTCCCAGAAGTGGAATTAGTAAGAACTTTATACCAATTTACTCTCTTAAAAGCAATTTGAAAATAGCCAGATTAGCTTCTTAAGTGCTCTTGTTTGAGATCAAATTTTTTTTCAGTTTCATTATTCAGGGTTTTTGGTTTTTTTTTGAGACAGGGTCTCACTATGAAATTCAGGCTGGCCTGGAGCAACTCGCAGTGATCCTTCTGCCTCAGTCTCGTGAGTGCTGGGATTACAGGGGTGCACCACCATGCCTGACCTCTTTTTTTTTCCCTTGCTTATTTGTATTGTGACAGCCATCTCTTCCTTTCAGAGGGGCTTGTTTTAGCTTGTTTTTTTTCCCCTTGCTTATTTGTATTGTGACAGCCATCTCTTCCTTTCAGAGGGGCTTGTTTTAGCTTGTTTTAGGTTAAGATGACTTGGTAGTTAGTAACTTAAATCATCATTTATCACCATTTTTATAGAATATAGTAGTCTAAAATGCAACATATAGACGTAATTTTTGTTTTCGTCTAATATTTGACCATTTAATATGTACATTAACCTGAAAAATTATTTACTTTTTATTTATTCTTTTGGAGGGTAGGATTAATGCATTGAAAGGTTCCAAAGGAAAAGACTGTGAAATCCCTGTACCTGTTGGTATTTCAGTAACTGACGAAAATGGTAAAATTATAGGTGAGTATACTGTAGCTTTTAAGGTTGTAAAAAATGTAAAGTTGTAAAAAATACATCTTCCAAAATTGGGGATTTTCAGGAATAGCTTCTCTTGAGTTTCTGAGGAGGTTTTTTTAAATGTAAATAATTTTAGCCAATTTTTAAAAAGAGATTTTTTTAAGACATATATAAAAATTGCTGAAAATTACTGATTTTATATTACTTTAAAGATATAAAAGTACTTGGTTTTAAAAATATGACTAATCTCTTCAACTGCTTGCAAAAGTGTTTTCTAGTGTCAGATTTTCTTAAAAACTTATTTTATTGTCTAGTGGTTTGGGGGCTTGAACCCAGGGTCTTACATATACTAGCCAAGAACTCGGCCACTCAGCTATACTCCTAACTCTAATGTCAGAATTTGGAAAAAGTTTAGTCTTATGGTTTAGTCCTTTATGTAAATTACAATTTGGGAGCATATATTATGAAAGAAAAATAGCATACATTATTTATCTTTACTGTGTTCTCTTATTCATTTAAAGGAGAGCTCAATAAGGAGGAAGACAGGCTGAAGGTAGCTGAAGGTGGCCTTGGTGGTAAACTACTTACAAATTTCTTACCACTGAAAGGCCAGAAACGAGTGATCCACCTTGACCTGAAACTTATAGCTGATGTAGCCCTAGTAGGGTAAGTACTGTTCATATTTTTAATATACTTTATAAATGTTAATAGTAGTTTGGAGGCAGAATTATTTCTAGTTTATAGAATTTGTATGTTGGGTGTACTTGGAGGGCATATAACTAACTATACAGTTGACCAGCAAACAATGGAAAGTTGGGGTGCCAGTCTCAGCATGATTGTTTCTCTAGTCAAAAGTCTGCATGTAACTTTTGCTACCCCCAGAGTTTAGCTACTGCTACCCTGTTGGTTGACTGGAAAACATGAACAGTCCACACATATTTTGTATATGTACTGTACATGATGAAAAATATAAGAGCTATGAGATCACTTTTGGGGGTGTTGTTTGTTTGAGACGATGTCTTGCTATGTAGTTTAGGCTGGACTTGAACTCACTGTACCGCCCAGGCTGGCCTCACACTCACAGCAGGTTGAGTGCTGGGATTACAGGCCTACACCACCACACCTGACTTGTGTAAAATCACGTTTTACTGTGCTCTGCAGTTTACTGGAGAGAGGAACTGCCCATGTGGAGATGATTAGTATTATATAGCATTTTAAGCAGATATTTGCAACACTTGAGCACACTGCAGTAACAACAGGAGGTGACTGAAAATACTACAGTAGTTCAATGTGTACTATACCCAATATTTTATAGTTATGATTTAATACTCATTTTTCTTGACTGCAGACAGCACCATATATATTGTTTGTATGCATAAGTTGTGATAAATTTTAACTTTCATAATAGATTTGTGTGTATTTTATGTAAAAATAATAAAGTAGCCTTTACAGATATTTTTGTGTGTGCATGATATTCCTTTTTCTTAATTTCTCTGGTTTGTCTGAGTTGCCCATTTCATCTACAAATTTTTACAAATTTTTGCTGATTCCAAACCAAAAAAAATCTGTATGAGTGAGCCCTTGTAGTTCAAACTTGTGCTATTGAGGGTCAACCGTAGTTATTTTCACTTGTCAAATAAGAGTGTCATAGTTGCTATTCATTTCTAAAAGGAAGAGCAGAGCAATTGAATGGGTCAGTAGAATGTTAAAGAATGGTTTTTAAAAATTGATCAGCCAATTTCTATTTATCAAAACTGTGAAAGTCTTTCAGCTAATGTTCATGACTAAATTGAGGTTGGGGGCTTTTTTAAAAAAATTCATATATTCCTGCTGTAATCATGAATGATTAAGGACTTAATGAAAGTGTAGTAGACATTAAGAAATCTCTTGTCATAGAACCATAGAGGAAAAATCTACTGATCATCAACACAGCTGACTAGATGTGGTGCTAAGGGATGTTTTGAAAAAAACTCAGACAAATGGAATTTTATAATAAGGTTAAAGAATTTGCAGATATAAAATTAGAAATGGAAACAAACTGCACTTGTAGCAGTACACAGAAGAGCATGCCTGTAATCCTAGCACTTAGAAAGCTGAGGTAGGAGGCTCCTCAGGAGTTTGAGGCCAGCTTGGGCTACATAGTGAGTTCAAGGCCAGCTTGGACTACATAGCCAGGCCCTGTATCAAAAAAAGAGAAAGCATACAGAAGGAAGGAAGAAGAAGGGACTGTGACTGAGAAGTTTTTGAGAGTGTAAATAGAGAGGTTGAAGTTAGCATTGAACAAAGGGCCAGTGGCCCATCGAGGCAGTCCCAGGGCTCAGACTCACACCCTTCTGGGCGCTGAATCAGCTCTTGCTGTCACTGTTGCTGTGCCTGTGCATCTGCTTAGAATCTCCCTGTTCTCGGAGTTGCAGGCCTTATAGTCCTCTCTTTCGCCGCTCTCCACTCTCTTGTCAAGCAGTGCTCTTGTGCTCTGAGATTTGCAGCTCGAGTGCACTGGAGGTAGACGAATAGCAAGACAGAGCGAAGGAAGAGGAACTTTCAGATTGCTTTTCTTGTTTCTTGTGCTGCTTCTGGGTCCTCCACTATAATTACACTTACTCAGGTGGAAGGCTTAAGAATGAGGGAAAAGTGTCTCACTGCTGCTCTATTCCAAATTTCTAGTTTTCTTTCATGCTTTTAAAAAAAATATCTCTTTTCATGTTCCTCTCCAGCTATCTCACTGCTTGTTTACCAGACTCTTGAAGTCTAAATCCCTTATTTATCCTGCCTGACCAGCCACTGGCTCTTAACCACCAATGGCTTGAAGTTCGCAGAGGCCTCGTTCCGATCCTGGCTATTCACATTTAATTTTTTTTTTTTTTTAACAAACATAGTTATAGGGATTATGAGGCATAGATTCTATAATCCTCTGTATTTGTCAGGAATATTGTGGGTTTAATAGGATTTTGTGGATAAGACTGGCAGTCCAGTGATTTACCATCTCATTTGGTAGAAAAATGTGTTTGAGATTCCAAAGAGACATCTTTACAGATGAAAAAGAGCGTAGTAAAGCTGAGTAGTAAAAGTAGGGAACTCAGGATAGACCGGGTTAGGATCTTAAACCCTCAAAGGAGTGGCTTTATATCAGCATTAGAAAATACGGCAGTGAAACCCGAGTGGTGTCAGATAAGTTACACAGCCTTCTCAAGCGTCATTCAGCTCATCTTTAATAGTGGCAAGAGATGGTTTTTACCTTAAATGTTGGTGAGTAGAATGACACATTTACAGTGGAACACATGCTTTGTATTTGTGTGTACCTGATGAATTGTAGCTTGCACCACTACCATTGTCTTCATGTTGCTGATTTGTTAGAGACTTCACATAATGAAATACTGGCATTTCAGAAGTGCATTTGAAATTACATTCAATAATTAAAGTATCGCAATTGTTAAGCAAAATGTTTAATGTATGTATATTCTAGTGGTTTTAAATCAGACAGCTATTCTTGAAGCTGCTACTATGAATACCAGTGTAAGTAGATAACCTTTTAGTTATTGTGAGGAATGAACTGAGCCTGAGAACTAATACACTGTATACTGCCATTGTCAAATCTGGTCTTTGCATTTCAGCTTCTAAAATTTTCATTATGTAGTTCTCGAGAAAAATCTCAAGTATCTATTCTATAACCATAAACAGCCTTCTACTTACATACTTTGATTTCCTTGGAAAAGTTGCTTGAATTTTTCTGAGTTTTATTATGAAAACATGAGGATAATTAAAAGCAAATAAACTAGTTAACTTATTCTCATGGACAAAAATGCCTGTAATTTTCTTTCAAAAAATTACTAGAGCATAAGTGAAATAGGATGTGGGAAAATAATTTATGTCCCAGGGGAAACAGATCACATAATTCATTACAAAAAGCCTTTATGAGGAAAATTGTTAAAAGAGCTCCACTGCAAAGCTTATAGGTTTTTATAGAATTCCACAGGTATATTTTCATAGTATACCGTTTTCCCAAGAAAGCTTGGGAGCTTTTGAAAAAAGAGCTTCCTCAGCCTGTATGTCCATCAATAAGTGGGTAGATAAAAAAGATACATGAATGGCAAGCCAGGATAGAGAAGATATATACCAAATCCCCACAATGAATGTAATCATTATGTATCACAAATGTACTAAGAAAAATTGAAAAATTTTAAAATTTATTAGTACGTGTTTGCAGTACATAATGATCACATTGATCATGAGGGATCTGTACATGTACATAACACATCTTAATTCTTTTTGTGTCCCCTTCACCTCCCATCCCTCCAACCCTTCTTCCTCTCCCCACTGACAGAAGCTCCATTTCCATTCTTTTTCAGTTCTTTTTCCTTTAAATCCCTTTTCTCTTCCTTCCCTCTCCCCTCACCCATCTCTTGCTGCCCTTCCCATTTGAAAAAAATCCTTCCTGCTTCTTAATATCTGTCTCCATTTTGCTCCTTATTTATGCTTTGGGTTTCTCACACAAGAGAAAAAATGTAATATTTAAACTTGTGTGTCTGATTTGCTTCACTTGAGATTATGTTCTCAAGGTGCATCTATTTACCTACAAATGATTCAAGTTAACCTTTATGGCAGGGTAGTACTCCGTTGTATATAAATACCACATTTTCCTTATCTGTTCATCTGTTGATGGTCGTATGGTCTGTGTCCAAGACTTAGCTATTATTGTGCTGCTATAAACATGAGTATACATGTATCAATGGATAGTGATGATTTAAATCTTTCAAGAAGGTACCTAGAAGGGTATAGCTGGGTCAAATGGAATGTCTAATTTTAGTTTTTTTGAGGAATCTGTATACTGATTTGTATAGTGATTGTACCAGTTCACACTCCCACCACCAATAGAGGACTTCTTTTTCCCATGTGCTCTTGCAAGCATAAAAATTTTTTTAAAATTTAGATGTTATTTAAAAAAAAATTTCCCCAGATTTGAATGAAAACTGTGAAGGCAAAGGATCATGTTTGTCTCATTACTATATTGGTTTATTTTGGGAGGGAGATTTTTTTTTTTAAAATAAGGTCTCACTACATAGCCTAGGCTGGCCTTGAACTCTTGTGATCTCCTGCCTCAGCCTCCAGAGTGCTGGGATTATAGGCATGTGCTACCATGCCCTGCTTTTATTGCCGTATTTTCTAGTGCTGTCTGTTACAAAGTCAATGCTCGGTAAATATTTGCTGGATAAATTTAATGTAAATATGTTATTGAGATATAGGAAAGAATCTTTTAAGTGGCCCCCATTCTTGGTACTTTTTAAATACACATAGTGGACCTTTTCTGAGTCAATTTAACAAGATGAAATCACTTTTTAAATACACATAGTGGACCTTTTCTGAGCACAATTTAACAAGATGAAATCACCATCTTTAAAGTGAATATAGATTTTAATCTGTATTTTCTGTTCTAGAAATTTATTCCAAGAAAGAGGGTGAAGATACAAGTTTTAAGAAAAAAGTAGATCAATGATACACCACTCAGAAGTGAATGTTAACACTCTCCTTTAGCTGTGTATGTTTTTGGTTTTAGCACTGTGGATGAGCCCAGGGGTTGGCACATATGTAGGCAAGTGCTCTCCCGTTGAGCTGTATTGGGGTAGGGTCTAACTTAACTCCAGGCTGTCCTCAAACTGTTGATCCTCCTACCTAGGCCTCTCAAGTAGCTGGGATTATAGGTATGCAGCACTGTGTCCGGCATATTTTTATAATGTTATTTACAATGGCAAACATAAAGTAAAATCAGTTGAGTATGTTACACTGCTGAGGGGCAGCAGACATATTAGGCTTGTGTAAAGGCAACATGGTGTGGAATTTATTATGCCTGAGTGCAGGCAGGCAGAGAGCGTAAGACCCTCTGCCCCAAACAAAGTGTGTCCCTTATATAGGGATAGAAGGCAGGGGACATTAGACGAGAAGATTTTAAACATCTGTGGTCAAAGTTCTCTAGGTGTCCTGCACCTCGGTGGGCAAAGTCCTTGAAGCGTTTGAGGTCAGTGTAACTTTTCAGGTGTCTCCAGATGTTGCCAGATGTTGCCAGATGTCCTGGGACATGCAAGACTGTCTTACCTTATCTCCTTTCCTGTGCTTGAGGATGACAGCCTCAGATACTGAGCTGAGTTCCCTGCAGAGAGTAGTGCCTGTGCCAGGTAGCAGGTTGGGGGCTGGGGAAGTCAGGCTGGATTCAAACTTTATAGTCACCTTATATTACTTAGTTAAAAACCAAGCCAACCAACTATGAAGTAATGTTTTGTTTTTTGGTCAGTACTTTACAACTACCAATTTATACAAAATCCAGGCCAAAGAAGTGTGATAAATGATACCATGGAGACACCAGTAGAAAAATCCAGGCTGCCTGAAAAAGAAACAATGACAGTTTTCTAAAAAGTAAAATGCAAAAGGAAACAAAGTGGAGAAAGTTTACATCCAAAGAGATTTAAGAGACAAACTAGCTAATTTAATTGCATGAACTGTATTTGGGTATCTGTGTGTGTGTGTGTGTGTGTGTGTGTGTATGTATGTGTGTGTGTTTTTGAGACAGGGTCTCCCTATACAGTTTAGACTGGCCTTGAGCTCACTTTGTAGCTCAGGCTGGTCTCAAACTCACATGATCCTTCTGCCTCAGCCTCCCAGGTGCTGGGATTACAGGCGTGTGCCACCATGCCTGGCCTTGGGTATCTATTCAAACAAACCAAATTTTAAAATTATACTGGCCATGTGTTAATATTTGCTAAAGCTGGATGATAACTATGGGATTCAGTACTCCGCTTTTGCATATGTTTGAAAGTGTGGATTGCAGGGTTTTTAAATTTTTTTCTTTTTCAAGGTTTCTTTTTTATATAATTAGAATAATAATTATTTCATTCTCTTAATTCTGAAACATTTTCAGTATCCAGCATGAATTTTTCATTTCCTTTTTCAAAAAGCACATTTTGTTCTCAAAAAAGTAAGTTTTTTCAAGATTATTTTAGATTTATAGTCTATTTTCTTTTGGAGGGAGGGTACTGGGTATTGAAGTCAGAATGCTGTGTATACTAAGTGTATACTTTATCACCAAGCTATACTCCCAACCCCTGTGATTTACTGTGAACAGCAGAAGTATGCAAGAAGTCTTTTCAATTCAGAAATAAGCATGTATGGGTAATATTGATATTCATTATAATGTGTAGTTGTATTTAATTATTTCAGATTCCCAAATGCTGGAAAATCCTCCTTGCTAAGTCAGATTTCCCATGCAAAGCCAGAAATTGCAAGTTATGCATGTAAGTATAATTTGATTTTGTATTTTAATGTATACAGGTAAAGTTTTAAAGACTGATTTTTCTGAGTATATATAAATTACAACTCCAAGGGTACCTTTAGTATGAAGACTTCTTTTGGCACTTAGAATACATACCTTTTTTTTTTTAAATTAATCTTTGAACCTCTATGGCAGTCAGTAAAGTTTCTTATACTTGTAAGATACTTTGTTGCATTTACTTCTCTGTTGCACAATCATTAATTTGGTTTGTTTAGGATTTTATAAGCTATTGACCCTTTATCTAGCATTGTGATAAATTCTAGGAATGCAGAGATAATACATTTATTCATTTAGCAAAGAAATTTCTAGGAACCACATTAATTTATGTGGTTACAAAGAGTGGTAAGTAAAACCAGCTAATGTGCTGACATTAACTGTGCTTACAAATAGTGGGAAGCATACATATCACTAAGAAATATAGAGGACTATGAAAGTGTTCTGTGACACTTCATATTGTGGGTGTGGGTGCCTGCTTTAGATATCCTCGAGGAAGTGTGGTGCTCGGGCTGACTTATGAGGAATAATCGAGTTAATAGTGAGAAAGATAATGGAAACTTAGGTTAATAGAGAGTGAATATGGTAGGATCTCTGCCATTATTAAAAAGACATAGAATGGCATTAACCTGGAAAATAAAGTTAAACAATCCAAAAGCTAGACTCTGACTAAGGGTTAATTTTGTACTCATTGTTATAAATTATATGTTCTAATACGTAGCACTCTTGTGAAGCCAAAGAAATGTAAAAAAGCGTAGGAAAGAGGCTAATGTAGGACTGGCAAAGCTTAAGAATAACTGCCTTAGAAGGGAATAGATATTTTTCAGCTCCAGACTTAACTGACAGAAACTTAAGTCCCGAGCCTTCCAAATATCCTTTAAAGTGCAATGGAAGAAATTTTGAGGCCCAGTAAGATGAGGCTTGTGCCTGTACAGATATTGAAAATCAGTATTTGTCATTTTTCAAATACATTTCACATGGCAAAGATAATTGTAGCTTCCATTTCAACAACTTAGAAAAAAACTTACTGTTCACAGAAACAAAATCCTGTTTATTCTGTACATAATTCCAAGACAGCTTTCAAGAACCAGCCTTTACTTTAGCCTTAACCTGTTGTTTTTCCTTTCAGTTACAACGTTAAAGCCTGAACTTGGAAAGGTTATGTATGATGATTTCAAACAGGTGATGATTTTTAAAATAAAAGACTTGATTAGAAGTGAAAATACTTTAGTACTAGGGCTTTATACTGCAATAGTTTTGCCTGTTTCTGTGGTGCTAAGTGGAAAAAAGCCGAGAATTTTTTATTATGTTAAGTGAAATTGTGCTTTTATTAATTCTGCTGGGCTCCATCACAGTAACACATTCGTGTAAGAGTTTAATGTTGTGTTCTTCCAGATGTTGTGCCCTACAGTATCACGTCCTCATTGTGTCATCTTTCATCTGTTTCTTCTCATTGCAATCCCTCTTTTACTACCATGGTGGATTATTGCTCTTCATTTCCTAAAAGCACTTTCTAAAGTTAGTGGAAATGATTCCATTTCAACTTTTATTTGAGCGGGGGAAGTTTTAATAGGATTTATTTTTTGTTCACTTGAAACTCCACTTAGACATATTTTTATGTTCTATGAGTTTCTTATGTTAGTATGTTCTATTAGTTTATTTTTGTGGTGCTTAGGATCAGACCCAGGACCTTACGCATGCAAGGCAAAAGCTCTACCACTGAACCACAGTCTCAGCTTAATAGGATTTAATATCTTGTAGTTATTAATTTTTCCCTGATAAGGAAGAATTATAGATCTTCTTTATGTGTACATAGAATATTGCATTTAGATGTTTATAGCAGCTTTATTCATAATTACCAAAACTTGAAAACAACCAAAATATCTTTCAGTAGGTAAATCGATAAGTAAAACTGTGTTATATGTAGAAAATTGAATATTCAGTTTATGGAAAGATACACAAGAACCTCAAGTGGACATTATAAGCAAAGGATGCCAGTCTTCAAAGGCTACAGGCAGTGTGCGATTCAAACTGTATGACCTGTCTGAGAAAAGCAAACTGGAGAAAACAAAAAAGATGAGTGGTTGCCAGGAGGAAGGAGGGGTGAATAGGCAGAGCACAGCAAATGTTCAGGAGAGTGGGACTATTCTGTAGGGGACTGTACTAGTGGATCCGTTGTATTTTGTCAAAATACAAAATAAAATACGAGGTTGGGTGATAATGATAGGTTCAAATCAGTTTATATAGTTCTCTGACATGCTTCAAATTTCCTCTGAAGGAAATTTGAGGGCAGGAGGCTGTCATGCCCTCTTGCCATATCGCCCCAGTTTCCTTTTAAGACTTTGGAGTTCTTGTCCACACTGATCAGTGTGTGTAGAGCTGCTACTTCTCAACCCTTCTTGCTCTCATTCTCATTACCTCTAAAAAGAGTATAGCAATACTATAGCTGTTTACTTTTTTTTTGTTTTAAAGAGAGTAGTAAATGAGAAATAAACAAAGAAATAGAGCAGTAGCAGCATACCAGTATCACAAGCATAAACAAATCAAAGCAAGAACATTCAAAGGGATACAGAGTCTCAAGACAAAATAATACGAATCAACAGTGGTTGTTACATTACATATTGCTATCTTCAACTACATTGCTCAGACTACCCAATGTAACAATGAAAGTTTGTTCAAGCCATTATAGGGAATAAGAAAATAGTTGTTCGATGAAACAGTAGAGATAATACAGAGTTTCACTAGACAAGATGGTAGGAGTTCACCATTGTAATTCCACTGCATATTGTTACCTTCAAATCAGTTGCTCAGACCACCAGACACAAGCATGCACAATCAATCAGAACTTTAAAAATTGTAATCATTAACTGTTCATTTTAATACACCATCAGACATCAGCAATACAGTTATTGCAGCTATTCATGAGGGAAAGAAAAAAGGAATGCAAAATATAGCTGTTCACTTTGAATTGATAGTAGTTCTGCTGGCATAATATGAACAGAAAAGGAACACTGACACTACTTACAAATTGAATTTAAAACTTAGAACTACTGAGCTATACTTAGAACTACTTAGCTATACTTATTAATTAACTTCCTAATTAATATTCTTACAAACTTTAATGAATTCAAGTTGTGAAAGTTAAAATTCTATAAAAAAATCGTAAAGCAGTTTATGGAAAATACAGATTTATGTGATGACTAAATGTTAAAAGTAATAAACTGATACTTCAGTTCTCTAGATTATTAGCTGAATAATTTAAACTGGGACTCTAATATCTGATAATAAAGGATTTTGATGCTTAACACATTTATTTTGCTACAAAGGTGTCTTGGCATTTCAGAAGTGTAGTGGGAATTATAAATCATGAACTCATTGTATTTGAAATATAAAAATTTGGGGATATAAATGAACTGTGATTTTAATGTATTTTTCTTTTTTTATCACGTTGTTAACTCTGTAACAGATATCAGTAGCTGATCTCCCAGGTTTGATAGAAGGAGCACATATGAACAAAGGAATGGGCCATAAATTTCTGAAGCACATAGAAAGAACTAACCAACTACTTTTTGTTGTAAGTCATGTGCATACCAACATGATGTTCAAATGAGTGAACTTTGTTTTGCTAGAAATGTTTTATTATAAGTAAGACTTAAAAATATAGTTATGTGCTACACAATCACATTTTGGTAGCAATGGTCTGCATACAACATATGGAGGTCCCATAAGAATGTATTGCCTAGTGACATTATAGCTTAATTTGTGTAAGTACAATTTGTGGTGTTCACACAATCATGCAGTTATCTACTGATAGAGTTCTTAGAGTATATCCCTGTTAAGTGACACATGACTGTACTAACATATGTCACTCCACTAGGTATTCAGATGGACAAGTACATACAGTAGGTAATTCTTATTTATAAGATATGGAGATGGAAATGATGCTAAGTTTAGTCATAATTGTGAAGATTTCATTCCTTAATAGTTCTGCCATATTATATAGAATATATAGTGTCTCTTTCATACACTACTGATGGTGCTTAAGTTATAGATGAGATTGTTTGCATTGTTATAAATTGTCTTATTAATGAGTCCATTTCATCAGAATTGTAATTATTTTGATACTTCAGTTCTGTTACTTTGAATTACTAAATTATCAGTATACATTGGGAAATTATTTGTAGCTTGAATAAGACATTTTAAAACACAGGAATGTATAACCATTCTTATGCTAACTGTGTTTTGTTCTCTCTTTTGTTTTTTAGGTTGATATTTCTGGATTTCAGCTTTCTTCCCGAACTAAGTATAGAAGTGCTTTTGAAACCATAATACTGCTTACAAAAGTAGGTTTTCTGTTTTACTGTGTTCTACATCTGTTCTAATATGTAGGCTTGTAAAACAATAATTAGAATAAGTACATATTCATTTCTTTTTAAAGCTTTTAAATGAGTTTAAAAATTACTTATATTTTTTATTTCCAGTTCTTTAATATTCACTGGCTTCTCAAACTACTGCAATAGATAAAATCCTCCTAGGCTTCCAAATCCCCCATATACACTTCTCAGATTTTATCTTACTTCAGCTTTGACATGCTATGTATTTCTTCTTGATACATTCTCCATTCTTAGCTTCACAAGCTAATCTAGCTTTATTCTTGTTTATTGGACTATTTCTTAGTCTACTTTTTAAGCATTTGGGTTTTTTTCCAGTGCTGGGATCAGTCTTTGGGCCGTATCAAATAGTAGGGAAGTGCTCTACCGCTGAGCTACATTCTAGCCCTCTGTTCATGCTTTTGTGTGTGTGTGTGTGTGTGTGTGTGTGTGTACCAGGAATCGAACTCACGACCTCACGCTTATCAGGCAGGGGCTGTGCCACTGAGCTATATCCCCAGCCCCCCTCTGCTTATGCTTTAACTAACATTATTCAGTTTGTAGGAACCCAGTTGTGCAATCTAACCCGTTCTCATTGATTAGTTACAGTTACTATACTAATGACTGTCAGATTTGTACTTGATACCCAGATCTTTCGTTTGGGCTTTAGGATAGGGACCTAGTGGGCATCCTTGATTGGATGTTCTCCTAGCCACTCAAATCATGTGTATAAAACTGAACTCTTTTTACAAAAAAGCTCTTTAGTCATGTGCACTTTATTGAGTGTGTAAGCTGAAAGCCTGGGTGGTGGGTTTGATTCTCTCCCTTACCTACATCAAGCTCCATCAGTTTCCTATCCTGAATCTCTGGATGCCATCCACATGCCTCAACCACACTGTCCTAATCGTCAACCCCTTGCACTGGAATAATGTATCCGGTCCTTTCTGGTCTCCTTGCTTCCAGTCTTACTTTGCTCCAGGACCTTTTTCACATGGCGCTAACGTGATCTTTGTAAAAGAACCAAGCTCATGTTTGTTCCATGCCTGAAGCACTTTGATGGCCCCTATTGCTTTTAGGTTATAGAGTCTAACCTGATCATGGTCTGTGAGGTTTGGCAAGTCTGGGGACCTTGCCCACTAGGTCTTCTCTTCCCTTGCTCTAACATGCTGCATTCCAGCCATGTGGTCTCTCTCTAATATGACAGGATACTATTTACCTCCAGGACTTTATAGGTTTTGTTTGCTACTTTTTATCTAAATGAATAAATTTCTGTGAACATTTATGTATGTGGTTGTGCAACGTTTTCATTTCTCTTGGATATATACCTAGGAGAGGAATTAATGTATCATGTTTTAACTTTTTGACATTTTGAGGAACTGCCAAACGGTTTTCCAAATTTGCTGCACCACGCACCACTTTACATCCAACCTGGAATGTATGAGAATTTCACTATTTCCGCATCGGTGTCAGTACTTGTTATTTTGTGTGATTTTAAGTTAAGCCATTCAAGTGGGAGTGCTGTATTACTTCACTGCTGTTTTGACTTGCATTTCTCTTATGATTAGTGATGCTGAGCACAGTCAACAGTCAGCAGTGAAGAGACTAACAAATGAGAGACAGTATTTGTATTGCACAGCTATTTTCTTTTTTTGTTGTTGTTCTGATGCCAGGAATCGAACTCACGACCTCACGCTTGCCAGGCAGGCACTGTGCCCCTCAGCTATATCCCCAGCCCGAGAGACAGTATTTGTAAAACCATTCACCTGAGAAGGGGTTAATACCCAAAATGTGTTAGGAACTTGGTGTATACCTAAATCCCAGCTGCTTGAAAGTCTGAGGCAAAGAGATCTAGAGTTTAAGACCAGCCTAGGGAAAGTGGCAAGGCTTCATCTCAAAAGGAAGGGAAAAGAGCACCAGGCATGATGGCACATATCTGTAATCCCAGCACTCTAGGAAATTGAGACAGGAGGATCAAAAGTTCAAGGGCAGCTTTGCCAATTTACCAAGACCCTGTTTCAAAATAAACAGGTGGGGTAGTGGCATGGTGTTTGCCCTCCATGTACAAGGCCCTAGGTTCCATTCCCAGAATCGTTAAAAAAACAAACAAACAAAAAAAAAAGATGAAATAAAAATGGGCAGGTGTTATGGCTTGTGTTTAGATGTCCTCCCAAAGCTTCATGTGGTCATGGGGGTGTATTTTCAGAGGTGGCTGGATCTAGAGTGTGTGACACTGAGATTGATTGATGGTGCAAGGCTAAGGTCAAGGGCACAAGGATTCAGGATGTGAGTGTGACCTGCCATAAGGGTGGGTAGCCTGGTGAAGATAAGGGGGGTAGAAAGAACTGTGGTCTTCCTTGCTTGCTTTTTCTGGCTTCTGCCTGCCATGAACTATTTCTCCTCTGTGATGCCCCTTTGGCAACCCACCCTGCCTAGAAGCCAGCTGATTATGGACTGGAACCTCTACCAACTGTGAGCTAAATAAACCTTTGCTTCTTTAACTTTTGGTGTTTTGTTTTTTGTTTTTTATTTTTTTTGTCTCAGCAAGGAGAAGAGTAACTAAGACAGCAGGGGATGTAGCTCAGTGTGACGTCCTAGATTCAGTCCCTAGTATTGTTTTAAAAAATAAAAATTTATTAAGAACCCCTCAATAACAAGAAAACAAAATAAAGACAAAACAAAACATGAATACAAGGAATCTATGGCTTATGCCTAGGTGTCTCCCCAAAGCTTCATGTCATCATAGGTGGGGTTTTTTCAGAGGGGCTGGGTCTAGAGTGTGTGATGTTGGGATTAAGGGTGTATGACTACTAAATCAGTCCACTGATTTGTTTGGCATAGTTCTGAGTTTGAGTGTTGCCCGCCCTAAGGGTGGGTAGCCTTAATAAAACAGGGACAGAGAGAAGCTGCCATTGTCACTTGTTGCTTGCCTGCTGTTTGTTGCCTCCCGCCTGCCCTGCTTTGCCAAATCTTTCCTCCTTTGGGTGTTGGGTATTTTGTTTCAGCAATGAGAAAAGTAACTAAGACAGTGTGGTATTCTGTGAATACTATAGGTGTACTGCAAAATAATCAGTATTGACTTATGAATTTTGTTTCTGTGAAATCCAAATACCTACACTTGGTTCTAGACACAAAATCATCTATCTCCTGGAAGCCACTTGAGCTAACATATTCTATCACATGACCTAACCAGAAGCATTTTCTAAATTTCCTTTGTTTTATGGTTATTGAGATTTACTGCATTTCAGTGATGTAAATGTAGATGGAAATGTAGATTTCCAAGGTGAGGCCTGGGAATGTAGCTTAGTCTGCTTTGCACGTGGAGGGCCTAGGTTCAATCCTAGCACTGCAAAAAGAGAGATTTCTCAGATTATTAAAGAAGGACATTACCACATGATTAATTTATATAGATACTGTTATAAGATTATTTATTTTTCTCTTAATTTAAAGGAGTTGGAGTTGTACAAAGAGGAACTTCAAATGAAACCTGCACTCCTGGCAGTTAATAAAATGGACTTGCCAAATGCCCCAGAGAAATTCCATGAGCTAATGAGCCAACTCCAGAATCCTAAAGGTAAACTCACTCATTTTACTTAATTCCAATTTAGTAAGTACTTACTGTGTACAGTGAATGTTAAGTGTTATAATCAGTGGAAAAGAAAATGGATAGTTTCTGCCTTAGAAAAGTATCTCTGAAGAAAGAACACATACCATCAGAAACATTTCAGTAACATTTTAACATAGTCATTACCAAGCTCTGTAATGTGTGATGCAGACTCTAAAGTTAGAGGAGACAAATAAAGATTTACTTGATGGAAGAGGTTAGGCGGTATGAAGAAGACTTAAGATGGGCCCTTTAAAAGTACATGGATTTGGGTAAACGGAGGGAAAAGTCAGAATGTCTCTGGAAGTTTTTCACTTTAATTAACATACGTCACAAGCTCTAGCACTTCATTTCCCTGCTACACCAGAAATACAGAGCCAGTACTTCCAAACAGGTATGTTTCTTTGGAACACCAACTCTATAGATCTTCGAAGAGTATCAGTCTTCTGAAAAGAACTTGAGCCCTTGGTGTATGTTACATGGAAAAATAGATGCTGTTATTCCAAAAGGATTTGTCTGAAATTTCATTAAGGATCGACCTTGCAAAGAAACGTAAAGGCAATCTCTGCAGTTTTATATATGAACCTTTAGAGATCACATGCATCCTATGGTGAAGATGCCTTAATTTCTGAGTCCAGTAAAATGAATGAAGAAAGATAGTTTACGTAATAAGTGGCCAATCTTTTTTTGAGACTAGGTCTCACTATGTATGTGGTTCCGGCTGGTCTTGAACTCACGGTGTAGGTCAGGTTGACCTCAAGCTCACAGCAGTCATCTCACCTTAGCCTTCTGAGTGCTGGGATTAAGATGAGCACCACCATGCCGGGCTCCATGTTTTTAAATAATACTAATTTCTTTGTGTTTTTATGTTTGGAATAAAGGTTGGGGAAAATGGATTATTGTGTATTAGGAATGGCAGAAACAGAAGGTCTTTTCTAAAATCTTTTTTCTACATAATTTATATAGGGCTTTCCTTAAATTAATAATTTACTCCTGCAGTGTAAATATTTCCTAGTAATATTAAGTGTCTGTATTCCTTAATATTAATTGCTTTCCAAGGTCACTCTTTCTGTTCTCTAGTCTTTGGCAGAGAAAAGAATTTTCATGAGTGACAGCAGAAGTGAGGGTAACTCAAGCATTTATTCAAGACCATTATAATTCTTGAGTTAACCTCTCCGGACTTTCTTGGACTTCCTACCGACCTCAGACAGCACGTTTCCTGGTGCCTTGTCCAATCTCTTTCAGCCTAGCCTGTTTAGTTCTTGTCATTATTAGCCCATCCAGTCAGTGTTCTGTCCCCGCTCCCATGTCCACAGAGGCAGCGAAGAGGAAGAAGTAATAGAACATCTGTTTGCCTTTAAGAGCGGCAGATTGCAATCAGAAATGATCTCTGTGTGAACCGTTCCTGTTCCCCCTTCAGTTTTAGTATGGCTCTTGGCATCAGTGATGATAAGCGTTCACTTAGGGAAGTGAAAGTTCTGCACTGTCCAAGGCCAGCTAGAATGTCCCAAATTACAAATGATGCTATTATTTTTGCAGAAACTTCCTTTCAGAGTACTTCTGTTGCCTCACCTTATTGAGCCCCCAAAGCAAATTTTATTACATTTGTAGATATATATCTTCATGATTCATCTATTTATTCTTAGTTTTATTTAAAACATATTTGTCCAAAAATATTGACTGAGCACCGTATGTGACAAGAACCTCATTGTCGTTAGAAAAATCGAAGTGTTCCGCATTTATTAGAGAAGGGAGAAAAGGAACTCAAGGGCAGCTTGGTTCCCTGCTTCACAAATCAACCCTCTAATATAGTTTTGATTTACTTCTCTCTTTAAAAATTTCAGTTTATTACTACAGATGTGTACTACATAATGTTTACACCCCTTGAGGAAAGTTGGGATATAACATAACACATCTTAATTCCTTTTTTCATCCCCTTCTCTTCCCTCCTTCCCCCTCTTCCCTCTTGAGCCCCTCCTTGGTTTTTCTCTGGTACCGGGAACCGAACTCACGACCTTGCGCTTGCCAGGCAGGCGCTTTTGCCGCTGAGCTAAACCCCCAGCCCCGAGCCCCTCCTTTTGTACATGTTTGTAGTACATGTTTATATCCCTTGTGTGGAGTTGGCACGTGTACATAACACATCAAAGACAATAGAAATCACCTTGGCTTTATATTCTTCATTTCAGCTTTTCTGCATTTATTCGAAAAAAACATGATTCCAGACAGGACTATGGAGTTCCAGCATATCATCCCCATCTCTGCTATTACTGGAGAAGGAATAGAAAAATTAAAGAACTGTATAAGGAAATCACTGGATGAACATGCCAGCCAGGAAAATGAAGCATATCATAAGAAGCAGTTGCTTAATTTGCGGATTTCTGATACAGTATCTTACAGTGAGCCTCTAATTCCAGAAAGGATGTAATGGAACTCTGGTAAAAACAGTATTAGTGAATTAGTATGTGGTCCAAAGAGAAGAAAATCATGTCATTTATGACAGCATGGATAAACGTAGCAAACATTGTTAAGAGAAATAAGCCAGTCACAGACAAATGCCACGTGGTCTCACTTCCATGTAATCTGAAATATTTGTTCATAGATGCAGAAAGAGGGGCTGAAGAGATGGCGAAGAGGGAGATGTTAGTGAAAACATAGAAAGTTTCAGTCAGTATAAATTTTGGAGATCTAGCACACTGCTTAGTGTCTATAGTTGTAACTATTATATTTTGAAAGTTGTTAGAAATGTAGGTTGTAAGTATTCACACCACAAAAAAAAATGAGGAAATGCATATGTTAATTATCTTGACTGAGCCATTGAACACTTTATATATTTCAGAACACCATATTATACATACAGATATAAAATTTTTTATCTGTCAACTTAAAAAAGGATATTGAAACTGTATTAAGTTGCAAGCTTTTTCACACTTTTTTAGTATTATTACTGATGTTATATGTGCCATCATTCAAGGTCTATACCTTTTAAGTTATTCTTTTGTAGTTAAGTGTATCAATAATAAAATGAGAACTAAAACATTATATTTTACAAGTTTAGGGCTAATCTACCTATGGTAGCATTCTCTGATATTCCTTTATTGTGTACCTACTGAGAACACTTTGTTCTAATTACACAGGATGGTTCCTTAGATGGATTAGTAGAATGAGCAGCCGGGTTTTTATTTGGGGGGCGGGCTCTGTCATGTACCTGGTTGCACTTAATATATAGTAGTTCTCTTTGTGGAAAACCTCAAAACCCTAGATTGAACATATATCGTCAATGATAATAAAGGTCACAGGTAGTATCCAACAGAAACCAGCAGATCAATGTTAGTTGAGTTGTTTTTGGAAAATTTTTCTTTCCTAAGTACACATATTTTTTCATGCTTTGGAGGAGACTGATCCATGTTTCATTTTCTTAAGTCTGTTTCATTGTTCACTTCGTATTTTAGTAAAGAGAGAATAAGTAGTAAAACTTTGAAATATATTGATCACATATTATATAGATGATTACAAATTCTAAATTTCTGCCTGGGTGCTTAAAAAGTACTGACGAATAGAAATTTCCCATTAAATGACTTTTATATCAAAACATATTATAAAAAATTCAAGTAATGCAAAAACATTTAAGCAAAAAATACTTCCTTTTTGCATGGGACCCCTTAATCCTTTCAGAAAAAGCCACTGTTAATATTTTATGTTCTTGAAAAAGGTTTTATTCATATCCTTACCCAAGTTATTTCTTTATATAAATTTTTCCAACTTTTTTTGTGCAAAATAACAAGGTAATGTGCTTTAAAAAAGTCTTAAATGCTACTTCCTAATTATTAGAAATTATTTTGGAATTTAATACTTAGTAAAGTCTGTCAGGTGTGGTGGCGCATGCCTGTAATCCCAGCACTCGGGAGGCCGAGGCAGGAAGATAACTATGAGTTTGAAGCCAGACGGAACTACATAGCAACACCATGTCTCCAAAAAACAAAATTTTTTTTTACTGAGTTCTGATAGTTCTTGGTAGAACTTGCCATATCAGATTTATTTATCATCATAAAGTACAAGTCTATACTAACACTGTGAAACATTGTACTGTATTATATACCGTTGAGTTGAATCTGCACTGAAGAGTTCACCTATCAATTAAAATGTCAGAGTACTTAGTGTATTGTGCTTTTGTGATATACGGCCATGGGTTGCTTAATGATAGGGATGCAGTCTAAGAAAGCCATATTTTGGTGATTGTTGTGCAAACATAGAGTGTATTTGCACAAATTATGAATGCTTCAAAATCACTAGGTGATAAATCTTGTGGGATCACCATTATATATGCAGTGCATCCTTGATCAAAGTGATGTGGTGCCCTATTATATAACCTGTTACAGTATTATAACAGGTTGATCTTTATTTTCTTTTAAATGATAAATTAGTTATGTAATTGAGAGAAAAGTTTGGTTTTATAATGTGATAAATTAAGTCAAGAGTATTTTATTTCAGGTTTTGTCCACTTAGTTTTTCTGCAGTCACGTTTCCTTTGAGCTTTTTGCTTGTTTTTTTATTTTTTTTATTTTTTTTATTTTTTTTGTCTTTTTGAGACAGGGTCTCACTATGCAATTCAGGCTGACGTTGAGCTCACTTTATAGTCTAGGCTGGCCTCGAACTCGAAATGATCCTCCTCCCCCATTCCCCCGAGTGCTGGGATTATAGGCATGCACCACCACACCAGGCCTTTCTTTGCTTGTTTTGCAAGACAGAAGTAGAGATTCCTTTCAGATAGTTAATGAAAACTACTGATTTTTATTACCAAGAAATGTACATAAGCAAATAGGATTTTCTAAGCAATTTTACAGGCTTGGTAACATTTTTTTTTAGACCAAATAGTGAACTGAATTCAGTGTATATTTTTAAGTCCTTAGAGAGCATCTAAAATTTGGCTTAAATTTTTCTCTCCTTATGGAAGAGCCAAGTGCAACAGATTCAGAAACTGTTTGAATGGTGATATTGCCATGGGCGTTTGCTGAATACATTGCATATGTTAACTCACTTAAATACTACATTATGGGCTGGGGATGTAGCTCAGTGGCATAAATGCCTGCCTGGCAAATGTAAGGTCCTGAGTTTGATTCCCGGTACCAAAAATAAAAATAAAAATAAATACTACATTATATCGCCTTGTGGTCATTTATTACTTTTTTAAGTTCAGTGGTGCATATCTGAGGGTTTTTAAAAAAATTTTGAGATGCTAAAATATTTTTTAACGGAAAAGAAAAATACATCCTTTGTTTTACATAATTTTATAAATGAGGTAAACATTGTTGACATAAAATGTTCGCAGAAAACATGCTAAAATTTTGGCTGCAAACAATAATGAAAACATCTTTCTTCCTAAAGAGATACTTCCTGTCTCTTTTTTTATGTTTTCTAATAGGAACTTGGCAAGTAGAGGGAAAATATCTGTTAGAGGACTCTTTTTGAATGGGTTTCACTTGCCAGCTAAAGGAAAATCAAAATCAAGTAGGTCATAGAAATGAGAAAAGGAGAGAGAAAAAGAAGGGGGAATGTTAACGTTGGATAGTTGGATATCGTTGTGCACAGCTCAGGAGTAATTGGTGGAGTCCTGGCCTCACAGGCCCTGGAAAGCATGAAAAAGCCAGGGGCATTTTTAACTATCACTTCTCATTATAACCAACCACTAATTTTAGGCAATTGTGATTTTCAAAAAAATGTTTTTTCACCACATGACTGTTGCTTAACTAATAGTTGCTGGCTACTTGAAAGAGTAGAGGAAGTAATCACTTTTGAACATATTATTACAGTGTTTATACTAGAAATTAAATCCTTTAGGATGCTCAGATCCCAGATAGCTATGTGAAGGATAGCTGTTACCTGAATCATGTCCTTTGAAATTCTTGGAATTTGAAGAACAGAATATGCAGTTTATATTAATTTTATATTAATTTTGGAACAATATATGACAAAGTGGCTTATTTTCTATTTTATAAACTGAGTGCGTTCAAAGTTGAAAGCAGAGTACAAAAACCTTCCTTTGTTTATGGCCCAGACGTTTTTTCCGAAATTGCCAGTATACTCTGACCACAGTTTTGTCCTTCATTTTTTATTGGTTTTTCAAACATTATTATTTATATTATTTTTATATAAAAGGCTTTAAGGAGACTGGTATTTACTTCTATGAAGAGGAAGGAAAAGTATACAGTTAAAACATATCTTCATCTTTATTTGGATATGGTTTGGTACAAGTTGAGGGAGATGGAATATTTTAAATTAAGGACAGATGTTGAGCAAAAGCTTATGACTAGATAGATTTGAAACAGAATTAAACAACAGTAATAAAAGCCACTGGTCGGCTGAATCCTAATGGGGGAAATAAGGGTACTATATAATAACAGACCTCCAGGTTCCAAAATAAATCTTTCCAGGAAGTGGTACTGCTTCTTAACAAGAGAAATGATAAAAACACTATGAGTACATATGGATTTTCCTATAAATGTGAACCAGAAACACTGACACACTTCAGAACCAATAATGTTATAATGCCAGATGTGTAACACATTCATTTAAAAGTTGAACATACAAGTTTCTTAAAAAAAAAGGTGGGTGTAGTGGCACACCCTTGTAATTCTAGCACGCTGGGAGATTGAAGGCCAGAATTTTTCCCTCTTGTGTTGTACAAATTCCCATTTGGTTCTCCCTCCTTTTCTTTCTCCTTTCTCTCTCTCTTTAGGAGACAGGGTCTTGGTATGTTACTCACAAACCTAGCCTAAAATGACCCTCCCTCCTTAGCCCCTTAGTAGCTAGTTGAGACTCCAGGCGCATGTGACCATGCCTAGCTACCTAATAGTTTTTAAAATGACATCTCCCTGTTTAATGTTTTCAAAACCTCCTTGTGTTACTTTATTAGTTTTCTGGGGCTGCCATAACAAAACACAAGCTGGGTGGCTTAAACAACAAAGCATTACTGTCTGGTGGCTTAGGAGGCTGTTAAGTGGAGATCAAGGTTCAGGCAGGGTTGGGTGCTTTTGAGGCTGTAAAACTCCCGTGCTTGCAGCCTGGTCTCTGAGGATTTGCTAGCAATGTTTGGTATCCCTTGGCTTGTGGATGCATCTCAATCTGCCTTAAAACATTGACATGGCCTCTCAGCCTTCCTGCATGTAACTGTCTCCCAGTCCTCTCTCCATTTTTCTAATACAGTGGATTGAACTCAGGGCCTTTGCACTGAGCTATGTCCCTAGACTTTTCCACTTTTTAGTTGGAGACAAGGTTCCAATAAGTTGCTAAATTGCCCCAGCTGACCCTGAATTAGAGGTCCTCCTGCCTCAGCTTCCCAGAACGCTGGGATTACAGGCACATCTCACCCCAGTCAGCTCAGATTTCCCTTTTTAGAGATAGCAGTCATTGGATAAGGACCCAACCTAATATCTTTTTTTTGACATAGGATCTTGCTGTGTAGTGAAGGCTGGTCTTATACTCACTCTGTAGCCTGGACTGGCTTTGAATGTATAGTGATCCTCCTGCCTCACCCTCCCAAGTGCTGTGATAACAGGCGTGTGCCAGCACATGATTATCTCTGTAAAGAACTTGTCTCCAATCAGGTTATGGTGTGTGGTGCTGTGTTTCAGGATGTCAAAATATGAATTTGCTGGAGAAATAATTCAGCCAATAACACTTTTTTTCATTCTACATTTCCCAAGTAGTATTAATAATATATTTTTCAATTAATAGAAAATATTATCTATTACTTTTAATTTGACAAGTTCCTCTTAAAATTACTATATTGTACCTACCCCCCCCACCCCCACATTAATCTGTATTTGTTAAATTTCAGCCACAGGCTTAGAAATACCTTGGTGAGATATGGCTAACACAAAAAAGGAATAATATGTACAAATCAGTTTACAGGTTGGAGTTGATAGGTCATGTACAATTTAGAGATGTCACTGATACTGAGAAAAAGGAATGTAAATAAGATTTGGATGGGCAGAAAGGATATAGGAGACCATTCACGATCAACAATAGCACTCAGAGAATGGAAAGTACTAGGGGAGAAATCCAAAGTAGGAGATAGGCCTGTGTTCCGATCGTACATTGCAACTGCAAACAGGAACACCAAAACAGCATACAGGATTTGGAGGCAGATTTGTTTATGTCGACAGGCACTGATCTCTCAAAAAATGTCAGGCCTCAAAGGCTCAGGGAGGGAGGTTTTTATGGGGTTTGCAAGCAGGAAGCACAGTGCTTGGCTGCCTGTGATTGGTTCTTACGATATGCATCAATAGCAACCAGCTATGCATCACAGCGACAGACACTTCCAGGAGACAGTAATAACAGGAACTGAAACAAGAACTATTGCCTGGGCAACTAACAGAAACTGAAGTGTACTGGCTTGGTGGTGGGGCATTTTCTGCTACAACATAATCTTTTAGGAAGGCCCACAATTACTTCTCAATTGGAGGCCAAATTAGTTAACACTGTACATCCAATTTTTTTTGTCAGTAATGTAAGTTTATTGGAATTAGGTGATCCATGAAAAAGAGCCAAGTGCTTGATACATAATAAGTAATCAATGATATCTAGTATTCTTTAACATAAAGGGAAGGAAATTGTTACACCTATCTGACACGTTAATGTAATGGTGTGAATAGGCTACTGGCAATCTGTTGTAGAGAACAAAGAGTTAGGGAGGGATCAAGACAGTATTAAAGAGAAACCACTGATGAAGTAAGGAATGATGGAAGACCTAGGAGATACAGATGTAATTTGTGTTGGGAAAATGCTAAACTTGAAGTAATAGCAGTCAACCATATGATCTGGTAATTACAGATCAACCTAAAGTCATGGAAAGCCTGGTCCAAAGGGGTAGATTTGGAGAGAGAAAAAACAGGTTGCCCTCTGAGGAAGTGTGTTGATTGGGAGCGGGAGGGGAGGACCCAGTGTTTGAATAATTACACTGGAGAAAGTGAAAGCAACAGGTTAACAAAAAACGACAAGATAAACTAGAAAAAGAAACATTGGCATTTCTAAGTCCAAAGAAAAAGAGTTCAAGGGAGGGGCTGGGGATTTAGCTCAGCGGCACAGTGCCTGCCGGGCAAGCGCGACGTCCTGAGTTCGATTCCCGGTACCGGAAAAATACCAAATAAAAAGAGTTCAGGGCTGGGGATATAGCTCAGTAGCATAAGCGCTTGCTTGGCAAGTGCAAGGTCGAGAGTTCAATCCCCAGTACCGTAAAAAAAAAAGAGTTCAGGGGAAAAAGAGATGGTCCAAATTACACAATATGCATCTGAAGGGAGATGTGACTAGAACAAAAAAGAGGCCTTTGGATTCAGCTGGGAAAAGCTAATTAGGGACAGTGATAGAATACTGGTCTCAGGAAGATGTTTACGTTCTCATTTAGAGTCTGTGTATATGCCATGTTACGTGGCAACAGGAAAATTAAGGTTCTGAATGGGATTAAAATTGCTAATCACATAACTGTAAAACATATCATAGATTGTCCGGTTGGGCACACAAGGATTCTTAAAAGATGGAAGGGGGAGGCAGAAGATGGTCAGTGTGATGTGATACGAGAAGGACTTGACCAGTCTTTGCTAGTTTTGAAGACAACGGAACCTCCCGCCAGGAAACCCAGGCATCTTCAGGCAGCTGGGAAAGGCAAGACAGTCAATTCTCTGCACTCTCCAAACGTACACACAATATCTCAGCCCTGTTTTGATTTTAGCCTAGGAAGACTTCTGACCTCCAGAAGTGTTAAGATAATTTTATGGTTTTTTAAACCTCTTGATTTTGTGGCAATTTCTTACAACTGCAGTAGAAAAGTAATACAGTGACCACTTGGGAATCTCTGTATAATTTTGGTGGTAAAAGGCGTACTGTGGTCAAACAGCTCTAGGATGACTTACTCGCTAAGGAAGCTCTGGTGAGAAAAATCTGGAAACACCAAGTCTTATCTACAGTCATTGTAATAATTATATTAAAATAATCACCGAATCCCCCTGAGCATGAATCCCACTGTTCTGTCTGTGCTCTACCAAGACAGTGCCTAAAATGAACCCACCTTGGTCAATAAACCTAGCAGTAGGAATAGCTTCCCTTCTTCTTTGTGTTCTTTATTACAGTCCCACTAAAGTCTGCTAATCAAGTAGCATTTATCAATGATACAGAAGTAAATTATGAAGTGATTTTGTACATAGTTGTTTCATTCAGTTCAGTTTTTTGTTTCTTGGTTTTTTTTTTGAGGCACAGTCTCATCTACAGTTCAGGCTGGCCTTGAACTCTATGTAGCCCAAGCTGATCTTGCACTCACAGCGAGCCTCCTGCCTCAGCCTCGGAGTGCTGGGATTACAGGCATGTGCCCCCATGCCCGGCTTCAGTTCAGTTTTTAAGATAAAAGAACAGAAGTTTAGAGCAAAGCGACTTTTATCCCATGTCACACTGCCATCCTCTCCATCTGCTGTGGCCACAGCTGGCCCAGAGTCGAGCCATATAGTGTATGTAATCTGATTACTCCCCACTTCTCAGATAGCCTCAAAGAGGGAACAGAAGAAACTTGCTCAGGGGGCTGGGGATTTAGCTCAGCGGCAAAGCGTCTGCCTGGCAAGCGCAAGGTCGTGAGTTCGGTTCCCGGTACCGGAGAAAAACCAAAAAAAAAAAAGGAAACTTGCTCAGGGCCACTCAACCAGTATGTACCAGAGCGTCATCAGATCCAGGCCTCTGGTTTAGTTTGGGCTCTACTCCACCCGTACCTAGTAAAGTGCTTTGCGGAGGGCCGAGGGGAAGGTCGGATTTGAGAATTTAATAGGAAATATTTACTTGGACAGAGACTCGCTACTTTGGTTCGTTCCTCTCCCTGGGAGTGCGCTCGTTAAATCCAATACGCCAAACCTGTAGCAAACACAACGTACCAGCTGACCCCGGGGAGGGCAGGGCAGGGCGGGGTGGGGCGCGGCCGCCCGGTGAATTCTGGGAATTGTAGTCCAGATCCCCGGGGCCTTCTCGTACGGGCCGCGCGCGAGCCCGACTGTGCTCCCAGAAGCCTCTGGGGCGCGTCCTCGCTGGGAACGCACTTCCGGGACGCGCAGACGGAGACGCTCCGAGAGGCTCCTCCGTGTGGGCGAGAGAGATGCCCCGGCTCTGAGGAGCAGGTAGGTGTGACCCGGAGTGCTCCGGTCCCTCAGACTTGTGAGAATAGTTGAGGATTTTATGTAAAGTTAGCTAAACCGACGAGGAGCCAGGGACATTGAAAAACGCTAACTGCGCTCGTGGACGTGGGAATGGGACGAGGAGGTCCCTGGCACAGCTTTACAAAAATGTTTCCGTGCTGCCGAGAGTGGGAGAACCGCGGCGCGTTCCGGAGCGCCGAGGCCGGGAGCCGAGCAGGCGGGGGCGCGCGCAGCGGAGCCGCGAGTTGCTATTTTGGAAAACCAGCTGATGCTGGTTGTGTAACGCTGACCCGCTCGCCTCTCAGCCCCCTCCGCGCCGCGGGGACCGGCTGGGCGGGGGCGGCGACTGCCGCGCTGCGGGCTCGCCATTGGCTCCTTCGGGAGCGCGGGCCCCGCCCCCTCTCTCCTGCGGGACTCGGCGCGGAGAGGAGAAGGGGCCGCGCGGGATGCTGCTCCCCGGCGAGCTGGCTCCGCTCTGCTCCGAAGCCCGGGTTCCTTGTTCCAGGCCTTGGAACGGACGTTAGAGACTTGGCGAGCTCGCTTAAAATGATTGCACAGGGACCCCGATGTGTGTGGTTTATTGCAAAATGATTTCCCTTAACCGCAGAGTAAGCTGTTGGTCTTGCTAACTCAAGAATTACACCTTGGCGGGGGCGGGCTCGATCGAAATCTCTGCAGACAGTATTCCCCATAAAGATGGTAATGGGACTAGTGACACACTCCTTAATCCGGGAAGTTTTTAAATGTTTGCAAGGTTTTTTTCTTTTTTTTTTTTTAAAGCAGGGACTCGCCAAATTGCATAGGCTGGCCTCGAACTTGCGATCTTCCTCCTTGGCCTCTCCAGTAGCTAGGTTTATAGATGTCCATCACCACGCCTGGCCAGGTTTTCATACTTACACTGTCAGAGATAAATAGTAGTTAAAGAGGAAGCTGCTGGTGTTTATGGATGGGGAAACATCTTAAAATGGCAGGTTAGGCACTGTTGGTACTGTAAACAAAGCGCTGTAGTTGAAAATTTTAGGGTGCACATAATAGTGTGGTTTAGCTTTGCCTGCTTTTGTTGTCGATATCCTTTTTTAAAAGGACGATGTTTTTAAAAATTGGCCAGTTTCTTTTACTTCTTTGTCTTACTTGTAACACTGCATGGGCTTTATAAGCTACTGTGGTTTTTTTTTTTCTTTTTATTTTTTAGTGGTGTTGGGCCTCCCGAGGTGTTCCTTGTGCATGCTAGCCAAGTGTTCTACCACTGAGCTACAACCCAATCATAAAATGCCCCTTAAAAACTGCCTTTGTTTGGTTTAACGTGTTACTAATTTTAGGCAATTGCTAATTTTTTAAAATTCCATTTGAATTTAAATTGAGTTTTTTGAGGAGTACTGTACTAATTTGGGCCATTTTCCTGTATCTCTAGGCCCAAGTCATCTCTGCTGTGTGTTCATTTCCACTGTGTGTTCAGCTCTACTGTGTTTCTTCTAAGTTAAATAAACCTGTTTTAAAACTACCAGGTACCTAAAAGGTAAGTCTCTCCTTTGATTAAATATTATTTCCTTTCCCCCTGCTACCACAGTTAATAATGATGCTTGTTTTACTCTTTTTCAACTAAATATAGAATAGATCTCCCTTTGAGTATAATTATTGATGATTTAACAGTTTCTTAGAAAACCTAAATTATATATAGAAGGAAATGCCAGTGTTACTTTCAAGAATTAATTTAGCTGTTGTGAGACATAGGTTCTTTTGTATCTATTCGTTGAAATTGTCCCTAAAAAAAACTGAAATGGGTTTGAGAATTCCTAAAGTTCTTAGCCACTATTCCTGCTCTAACCTTCTTTGAGCTTTATTCCAAACCACAGAAAATACATCTATTTGAAAATGTTTTTATTCAGAGTGGTATCTTCAATAACATTTAATCATGTATCACATTTTATCCATCTACTGAAAATCACTGTGGAATAGTCAAATGACAAATGGGAAGTGTTCTGAAAGGTTTTTTGGTTTGGTCATAAGTACATCAAAGAGAATGCATTCTTTATTATTATGTAACTATAATCATCTGTTTGTTTGCTGAGACTCCAAAAGAAAATCATGTTACTACCTGAAGAAAGTAAATTAATAACAATCCTTACAAACTTAAATTTCTAACCATAGTCTGGTTTACTCAGGACTATTCATCTCACAACTACCTTAGGGGATATTTTACTGATTAGAAAATTGAAGTTCAACAGATGTAGCTGAAGTGTTCAGTTTGTAAATGATGGTCATGATGGATTTTGGGGTTCTAGATAACAAGACCAACCTGCCTCCTAAATGGAAACAATAAGCTCACATTTTTTTTAAGGTAGTGAAGTTTTACGTTTACTAAAGGGGACTGTACTTATCTACACTCAGAGCAGTATTGGAATCTTGCATTTTGAAGAGGATCCTCAGGAGTAAGGTCTTAGTCCTGTGAAAATTTTAGTGACCATTTCCCATGTAGGATTTTTGTAGCTTTCCACTGCATTCCTTGAGGAAGGACCAGTTTAATGGCTCTTCACGAACTGGAAAGAAGGTGAGGGCCTTGAGGGGCTCTAAGGCTTCCCTTCTTGCCTGCCTTGTCAGCCTTTTGATTTCCTAAAGAGATTGTAGACATATCTCTTTGGTGTCCTTTGCATTCCCTGATAGCAATCTGCTTGGGAAGATAGACTGCCTCTGGGAATTGTATAATTTCCTGCTTGTGTTTTATAGATGTTTGCTGATTAGTCAGAAAGCTTCCCTTTTTTCAGATTGTTGCCTGAGCATGTAGCACCAGAAAGGTGTATGTGGAGTCTGTGTACATATTTCACTTTTTACCTTTTCCTAGTATCAGTGCCCAAGTAAGAGCTGTAAACTGCTTCTTAAGCAGAAGTCTGTAGGGGAAGGCAATGACTTGTTGAATTTGAGAAGGGGACCAAATTATGAATGTGTAGCTGATTTTCCTAGAAGAGTGAAAAAGCTAAGCAAAGTGCCATGGAGAACAGAAACATTAGGACAGAAAGGATACTAAAATCTAGGTCACACACATGGAACTTGACCTCTTCTATGACTGGGTTAGTAACAGGATTTCTAGCTGCTCTTTCCTGATTTGTACCTGTAGTGAGTGACTGAAAACAGGAAAGAAACGAAAGAAAAAAGGAGTCATAGATTTCAGAGAGAGAGAGGGAGAGACAAACAACAAAAAATCATGCCCAAAACGACATTACCTGCTTCCTTTCCATTGGCTGCCTTTCCAAGATATGTTACTGAGTTTCATAGTGCTTGTATCTCTTTCTAGAGTTCATTTGTAGGTTCTTCTTGTCTCAAACAAAGAATTGGGTAAAACCAGCACAAAAGGTAGTGGGGTTTTGTGTTTATTAAAAGTAGGAAAAGAAACATGCTTTGCAGGGTTTTGGACCAAGTAAAAGTAGGGAAAGACCAGTCTTCAGCATGGGAGTGGATATACTCTAATGAAAGGACACAGCAGCCAAACTCATATATGTATGTATATAATCCATCTCAGAGTATCACCTACCTTGTGCTGTTTATCTTGTCAAGTTTACCAGAGTGCATCGTTAGCCTTGCACATTTCCAGTCCCTTGTGAGAAGTTTCCATATGACAAATGATGTATTTTTCCCCATTGCTATTAAAAACGTGTAAATGGAAATATAAATTGTAGAGCTTTGATAAATTCTAATTTGATATCTCAACCAGTCCTAATGAGGCAGGGTATATCCAGTGAGTAACATACAGCCATTTAGTTGAATACAGAAGAAGCAACACATAATCATTTTCTAACCATTGTTGAAATTAACCAGAGTTGCCAAGTTTATATATATGCCTGCTAGTCTCATTTGTACTTTTGTGAACATTTGAGGCCAAATTGGTAATATTTGCAGCTGATAATTGAGTGCTTTGGCCCTTTTTGTGTATACATGCTAAATGGTTGTTAGTGACAACCAAGGAAATTTTAAGGCTAATATTAAGAGACTTTTACGTTATTTGGGTTCTAATTAAATGAAGAAAAACATTGATGGCTAAAATATTCTGATAGTGGTAATCACATGAATGTGTGTGCCCCGAGCTCTGAGGTCACACACGTGTGTGTTTATATGTTTATATTATACAGATGGATTTCCTCTGTACAAAGGAGTTTGCCTCTTTGCACTGACTTTGTCATTAGAAGTCTTGCCAGTTGGCCACCTGTTGTGCTGTACTACCCTATTGTCCCTTCATGATTTGTCCTCTTGTGTGTCACTCCCCAGTCTCACAGTTCTGCACAAGGCTGCCTGCCATGGGCTGTCGGGATGTCCATGCAGCCACAGTCCTCTCCTTTCTGTGTGGAATCGCCTCAGTAGCAGGCCTCTTTGCGGGGACTTTGCTTCCCAACTGGAGAAAGTTACGGCTGATCACATTCAACAGAAACGAGAAGAACTTGACTGTTTACACAGGCCTGTGGGTGAAATGTGCGCGATATGATGGAAGCAGTGACTGCCTGATGTACGACACTACGTGGTACTCATCAGTTGACCAGCTGGACCTGCGTGTCCTCCAATTTGCCCTTCCCCTCAGCATCCTGATTGCAATGGGTGCCTTGCTGCTCTGCCTGATTGGAATGTGTAACACAGCCTTCAGGTCCTCGGTGCCTAACATCAAACTGGCCAAATGTCTGGTCAATAGTGCAGGCTGTCACCTGGTGGCTGGGCTGCTGTTTTTTCTGGCAGGTACTGTGAGCCTTTCTCCATCCATCTGGGTCATCTTCTATAACATCCATCTGAACAGAAAGTTTGAGCCAGTCTTTACATTTGACTATGCAGTTTATGTCACTGTCGCCAGTGCTGGGGGTCTGTTTATGACTTCCCTCTTACTGTTTATTTGGTACTGTGCGTGCAAGTCTTTGCCTTCTCCTTTCTGGCAGCCACTGTACTCACATCCTCCCAGTATGCACACTTACTCCCAGCCCTATTCAGCGCGTTCCCGCCTCTCTGCCATTGAGATTGACATTCCAGTAGTCTCACACTCTTCCTAATGAGACTACAGTTAATTGTTGAAAAAAATTTCTTGTAGCCCCTCACATTCCCCTTGTAAAAAGAGCCTTTTTGAACCCCTGTACTTTTTCCTTTTTCCTGACCAGTCAACAAAGCCAAATTTGTATGTGCTGGTAGAATGAAGTGCTGCTAGTTTTTATGAGTAAATTACATTATTTTAAATGTCAAACATTTTTCTTACTTCTTGTATTCAAAGGATTTTTAACCTGCTTACTGATATTTGATCAGCTATTTAAGGGGAACCAACCTGTGTCTGGTTTAAAATAATATGGTAAAGAAGGATGGTTAAGAAAAGCTGTTGCATACAATCTTTATGAATATTTTAGCTTGTGTTTTGTCCTTTTTATGTAATACTTTACACTGGAAAAAGAAAGGCAACTTTAACTATAAGAAATTTCTTTCAACTAAGGATAATTTAATACTAGTCAATAATCTAGCTGCTTATGACTATGACTTTTCTTTTGAGGCTAATTGTATTGAATGCGCTTCAGTGTTTTGAAGATTGCTTTCTTTTTTGTGAGTTCCTTATCTTCTACCTCATGCCAGTGTTTAAAAGTAAAATGCATTTTAAGTGAAGCCAGAATAAGACATTTTAAGTATCTGTTAAGTTTATATAATATTAACATAGTTTTAATGATTCCATGAATTGTACTGTTGGAGTTAAAACATGCCGTTTGACAGATTGGTGCTTCCTCTGAAGCAGAAAAACTTTTATTCTAGATGCCGCCTATCTAGAATTGTACCCTTGCACACGTACAGTCTCTTAACAGCTGAGAGAAATTAACAAAAGATTGAGACGTAATGGTTTGTGCTCTTTAGACAGAAGTGGTAGGGGACAAGAATCTATTCTTCAGTGCAGCAGAAGTGAAGTGATTTCCTCTGGACTGCAGTTTGAGTAACAGGTGAAGTAAGAAGATGGCTTTACCATAACCACATTCACCCTTAATTCACTTTCTGTCCCCATCACAGGTTACTGTCTTGAGCATTTATCTTGGCCTAATACTTTATAGTAGGTGCTTTAGAGGATACAGGAAAAGTAGGGGATCAGGTTCCATCCATGAAGAAATTTAAGTCTAATAGACAAGATCAAATTCTCAAACTATTATCTGTCAGTTAGTGAACAGTCTTACTTTTTCAGCTGGTCTGAACTTCTGTCATTCATCCAGAAATCATTTCAGCCAGAATCATGACTTTCTGACAGAGTGATTATGTAACACCAGCAATATCCTGGACCCTAGAAATTCGCTCTACTGGAATTCATCAGATTTTTATGATACCTACCTTCGCCTACATGCTCCAGTAACACTATCTCAGAATCAAGAGGCTGGGCAACCTCTGAAAGTGTAAGGCTGTATTAAGGAGGATGAGTTTTTAAAATCTGTATTCTTAGCTGGTATCAGTTAGATGTAACTGTCAACACTGAGATAATACTTAAAGATTCAGGGATTTAGGGTCTTTGCCCTTATGAATCTGAGCTGCTTACTTAGTTGGAGTAATTTGCTACATATTAGTATTATGTCCCTAAGGATTTTGTTTTATTACAGAATTTACAAATAGCTAGTTGTATAATAAACAGATAATGCCTCTTTTACAGATCTGAATATGATTCTGGTATTTCTATAGGTAAAGACAGATATCTAGTACTTTTTTTCTAATTCCAGCACTACTTTATGTAAATAGAAAATCCAGTTGCATAGTTTTTAAGTGCCATCAATAGAAAGCACACAGGCTATGTTTTTTCAGTGATAGCTTCTAATTTCAGTTGTGATTGTTTCATTCTCATATGTAGCTAAGTCTTGATCATTCCAAGACGGTGATGGGTAACATTTTGAGATGAGTATTAATTTAACCACTTGGGAAATTAATTTTAGTCCCTTCTCTCATTAAAATTTTGTCCAGAAACATCAAGAATTTCACCATTCCTTGGTCTTTGCATAAACAAGGTTAAAGGAAAAAAATGAGCCATTGAGATACTAGACAGTTTTTAGTTCTTATGGTTATAACTACTCGTATAATCATTAAGCTTTCCTACACTGAATAATCTGTAGCCTCAAATTAGTATTTATTACGGATTCACATGACATAAGAAACAGCTGTTTTCTTATTGTGTTAATGTTTCAATTTTGCTGTCAGTAGCTGTTTTTTAAAACCTTCAAAGGAAAACAGATACTTACACTTCTTATCATTCTTGAGCACTAATCAGGCTGTCATTGTGATTGGGGATAACTTTTTGTTAACAGCCTATTAATGTTAAAAGCCTTTTTTATAGGTACCAACTTGGAAAACAATCTTAAATGTGGTATGGTGTACCAGATTTGGTTTATCCAGCCTTGGGAAAAAAAACTAAAAAAAGCAAGATTCTTGAGTTAATTTTACTTGTACATAGAGCCTATAATGGATACTATGTTTGTTGTAAACTGCAAGATAAAACCTCAATAAAAGTGTACTGTACTTCTTGATGTTTATTAAAAGATGTATTTTTACAAGTTCCTGGTTTTGTTCTTTTCTTAGCTTTAGAGTAAAATATTTTTAGAAATGTTTCTCAGGTGTATATAATTTGTAAAAAACACAGTCTCATGTAAAATTCTGTGGAATAAGTACTAGGAAGGAATTAGAAAATGTGGAATTATTAATTTGGAAAGATCAAGATTCTTTATCCATTTCTAAGAGTGGTCCTAGGAGTTCACTAGAATATTTTCACAGTCCTCAAATAAGTATTTAAATCATGGCCAGGTTTGCCTAATCAGTGAACTTTAAATGCTCTGTGATCTTGGAGATTGGGGGTTTTCAAGTAGGGGGACCTTTTCTTAGTCTTTAAAGCTTGGAGTTACCAGAAAAAGTGACAGGCAAGTCACTTCACCTTTTTTTTTTAAACCTGTGATGAGTTTTTAGTTTGGAATTATGTCCATCTAGAGACATTCCTCACATACAGTCCTCACTAAAACCCACAGCTCTGTTACAGTATATATTAGGTAGCAGAGGCAGTGTTACACTGGAAATCAGAAACTGCATCAACTTGGGCACCACCCCCCCCACTGATTATGTGAAAGCACAATAATCCCGAGTCCCTCCGATCTACAGGTTCACTACAAGTAATTAAATGCTAGAGAATCTTTTCGTGCTGCTCAGAGTCATTGGAAACTGATTTATCAACCAGAAGTGAGAAGTACACATTACTTGCAATCACTAAGATCATTTTTTAAAAGCATCCTGCTTGGGAAAAGGACTAGTTAGTTCCAGTGCTGGGTCAGGGGAAGTACAGATAAACGCAGCATATCCTGTTCTGTCAAAAAGTGAGAAAATGCCTAAAGAATTATGGAGGTTCATGAGATTACAGCTGCCAGTTTGAAAGAGCTCCCATTGGCCAGACGTGGAACAATATGAGCATCAAAGCAAAAAGGCCAGACATGGTGGCATAGGCCTGTAGTATCAGTTCTTGGGAGACAGGAGGAGCTCCAGTTCAACGCCAGGCTGGCTACTTAGCAAGATTCTGTCTCAAAGAACAAATGTGTGTAGTGGGTTATAACCTGTTGAATAAAGAGAAGATACTGATAAGGAGGAAAGAAAAGCTCATTCTTAAAGTAAAAAAATATAAAAATGGTAGAATTAGAAAACATTGATAGAATTAAAACTAATTTTGAGACAAGTCTAATAAGCAATATATTTAGTCTCAGTACAAAATGGCTTGATTTCAGAGGGTGAAATAAATTTGTTGTGGATAAATTTGGCAGACAAAACCTTAATTGAGTTGTCAGATTTATCACCCAAGAGTGAGACAAAGCAACCTGGTAGGATATACTGAGAAGGGACTTAATTGCCACTGTTGTAAAACCATTAACAATGTGTAGCCTGAGTCTTGTCTTAAACAGTTCATTGGTCTCACTTTGGCTTTTTACTTCCCTCTTTATGCTGATCTCATGCTTCTTCATTTTTATAAAAATGTGTAATCTAGGGCCAGAGATGTAGCTCAGCGGCACAGCGCCTGCCTGGCAAGCGCGAGGTCGTGAGTTCAGTTCCCTATACAAAAAAAAAAAGTATGATCTATGTTATCTCCATAATTTATCTTTTAGAAGTGATTTTGTGTCAGTGTTCTTATAATAGATGGCAGAGCCAGGGTTGAAGAGTTTGTGTCAGGTCTTCTGTCCTGAAAAACTCAAAAGGAAAAGTCCTTGCAGAAGAAATGTAAAGGAAAATGGCAATCACAGGACTGGATGGGATCTTAATTGGCTGTTCTGTTTCTGTTAGCAGTGAATCCTGAAGCATCCTCAGGTTAGCCTGAGGGGCTGCTTCTGTTCCCCACAGCCTATGCTGGAAGAGAGGACCCTTTCCAGGAGGCGTCACTCTTTACCTGCTGGATATTGCACAGCCCTTAGGCCTGGGAAGTTTCCGGGTCAGTGGCATGAGCACGTCAGAGCTCTCTGAACCCCATTGTGACCCTGGGACTGGAGAGAAAACCATCTCCATCGCCTGCCTCGTATTTATAGCCAAATTAATGGGGAGATGGTTGGATTGTTGTATTTTGTTTTGAAATAAGTCACCTGTCCTGACTTCTGTAAAGAAAATGATTTGGCAAGTCGTAGGGAAGAAAGTGAGACAAAAAGGAAAGGGATTTTTTTTTTGGTAAAATTTTGTGTGAAAAGCCACTTGTATTGGGGCCTGTTAGCAGGAGTGTAGTAAATCACTTAAAAACCTTTTTAGAATCTAAAATGTGTACATGGGATCCTTCATACGTGGGGTCTTTTTCCCCGGTGATAGGAAAAATTGAAAACAAGCCAAGAAACAATGAGAATCTTTGCACAGTGTTTGACTGAAGAGGAGGAGAAATTGGGGAAGGAAATTCACCTTAAGGAGAAGAAGAGCTGGAGGGAGGGTAGCACTGACAGAAAATCAGGCTGGCCAGTTAACAAAAGAAGGAGGTCAGCTTTTATTGGGTGGCTAGGGTGGCCTAGAGTCTTGATCATGATCTCAGTTCTGGTTTGGTGAAGTGGCCCCAGAGAAGTCCTATCGAGTGAGGAGGCAATCAGTCCACTTCCTAGGAGACGGTTGCTCCTGCTCGGGCCTGGGAGGGCAGCCTCAGTTGTGTGGAGGCCCTGCTGGAACCCAAAGTGACTGGAGATTTCTAGGTGCCACTCCAGGGGGTCTGGAACAGGGCATTGTAAGAGCTAGCAGTTAAATGTCCCTGCAAATCTTGAAAATACCTTAGTTACTCTTACCTTCGTGCCCTCAATCTTGGAATGAGGCCGCTTGGATAAATTTAGGGATAATAAAGATCAGATGTGCTGGCTCATGCCCGTAATCCCAGTACTTGGGAGGCTGAGGCAAGAGGATTGCCATGAATTCAAAGCCAGTCTGGAAGCTGGGATTTAGCTCAGCGGCACAGCGCCTGCTTGGCAAGCCTGAGGGCGTGAGTTTGCTTCCTGAGACTGGAAAAAAACAAACAAAAACAAAAAAGCCAGTCTGAACTACATAGTGAGACCCTGTCTCAAAAGCAAACAAAAAATGTGGAGATAATAAGTCTTGTATTGTCAGTTTTTAGTAAGTTCTTACACGAGTAACCTGCCTATGCAACAGAGCTGAGCAGGAATCTGACCAAAAGTTTAAGATAGTAAAGGAAACAGATACAAAATAAAGGCAGAGATGCCAAAGCTTTTTTCTGGTTCTCAAGAGCTGTTCATCTGAAGAGTCACTGCTTTTTAGTGAAAGCAGCTTATAAGTCCTGATCTTACTAGCTGCTTCTGCTTTCAGGGTGCAAAGATAGCAATGACGTGCCAGAGCCAGTGGCCACTGGCCCATAAGAACCAACTGTGCACATCTCTTCCCAACTCTGCATGCCGATGGCATGCTGGTAGCTTGAAACTGGCCATGGTAGAAGTATTTCTACTCCAGAAGTTCATAAATGTTACAAGTTAGGGTTTTGCTTTTCTCTGCTGTTTACCAACACATTACTGCTTTGACTAGATTAATTTTTTGAGTTTCAGGTTAATTTTTTTTTTTGATCTTTTTGAGACAGGGTCTCACTCTGCAGTTCAGCCTTGAGCTCACTTTGTAGCCCAGCTGATCTTGAACTCACAACAATCCTCCTGCCTCAGCCTCCATAGTATTGGGATTACAGGCGTGCGCCACTGCACCCAGTGAATTTCAGGTTAATTGATGAGGAAGTTAGAAAGCAGCAAATATAGAGAGTTGTAAAATTTGATCTGATGAAGGGACTATCTGAAACCGTCTCTTAGCAGGTCTCCCTATGTCCAGTATTGCTATATCTCTCCCCGCCCCCCATGAACCCGTTCTGTGTACAGGCGACAGAACGATCCTAGTGAAATTCAGCCGACCTAGTTCCTCCCACGCTTTACATCATTCGGCACCTGTCCCCTCAGAACAGAGTATAAGCTCTTGCTTTAATTCCAAATGGAAGTTCTTGGGAGTAGTACAAACAGAAGTACATCAAAGAACGTTGGGCCAGGAAGAGCAGGCTGCTTAGAACAGCACAGAGACGTAGGTGTTGTATAGAATTTTTCAGACTCTTAGTGACTGTTAACATTAATGATATCTCACATGACTAATATATTAAAAATTCAAATTTAATAATACCCTTATTCTGTCACAGTGTCCCTGTACTGTAACTAAATTAGACACATTCCTTATTGCAGAAATTTCTGTGACCTGTATGAGGAAAAGTGGCATAACAAACATGACAGCTACCCTCTAAGGTGGCCCCCAGTGATCCTGCCTCTTGGTATTCCTGCCCACTGTCGTACTGTCCTCCATTAAGAAGTGTTCATCTATGTTACCCAGTGTTTTTCATTTTGTAGAAATAATGCTATGTGACATCCAAGGTTATATATCAGTGGTGGCGAACCTATGGCACATGTGCCGCAGCAGGCTGTTTATTATCACTGAAAGCTCTAAAAGTTTCGCCATCACTGTTTTAGATCATGAAAGGAAGGCACTGTATAGCCTAGGCTTTGTTCTTCCGTGTACCACATACTCTGGGGGAAGCCTACCACCATGTTTTGAGGATATGCACAGCTGTCTGGTTAATAAAGGAAGAACTAAGGCCCCTGGCAACAACCGGTACTGATTTCCCAGCCATGTAAGAGTGCCATCTTACATATTCTGTAGGAAGCAGACTTTCCCAACACCAGTGAAACTCTTAGATGACTGTACCCTGGCCACTGTCTTAATTGGAACCTGGTAAGGGACCCAATCTTGAAGAATATTTCCATGCTGTATTTTGAGCTTTCTTTGTTCCATATCAGCAAAAATCTATTTCCTGATCCCAGATTCCTTTGGAAAGATTGTCAAATGTGATAAAACAATCTAGTCTGAGCGCAGAGGCAGAGGAAGCTCTTAGACTGGGAGCAGAGTTCTAATTTTGGTAGGTGTGAGTGACTGCTCTTCGCTCTTCGTTATCAAGCAACAAACAACACAGATCTGACATGGAGTTTAGAACAGAGTTAAATACAACTGCAGTCCAATTAATATGAGT